GAAATACTCGTGTTACCTGACAAGCTCAGCTGTGGTTTAGAACTGATCCAGCCAACCTGCAACTTGCAGAGGTTTAAAATGTGACCTGGTTGCTTTGTCAAAATAAGCAGAGGTTCCGATGAAACGCCAAACTGGAGCTTAACAGGATGCATGATGATGTTACCTCCAAGACACACTCATGATAGCTTTTCCAGAGGAATTTAATAACACAATGATCTTTATAAATGTCTATCTTACTGGATTTATAACCATCAGTGGCCTGTATTAGCAGTTTATGTCCCCTGCAGTCTCTCCTCTCACCAGGAGACGGAGCAGTTCACTAAGAGAAAGTCTGGTCTGCTAAGGAGAAGAGTGAGGTGCCGTGTCTGGGTTCACGTTTATTATGTACAATAGGATGTAAAGGGTGTGTTTGTGTTATGGGAGGTGAAGCCAGAGGTACCAGAGAGAAGTCACACTGAGAGCTGAACTGAAAACAACAAGGGGCCCAGAAGAACAAAAGGATGTGTGGACATGTTAGATGCAGACTTATGGAAAAGATTAGGCTTGATGGCACAATTCCCAGTAGTACTTCCCTCCTTTTTTTTTTTTTTTAACATCACAGGATGTTGTCTATATTTCAGTGCGGTATCTTGACTGTGATGTTTTTATTTTACCTCTAACCTCCACTACTGCTTTTGTCAGGAGAGCGGCTGATGACATACAGGGAAAACAACTTGAATCATAAGCTGCACACCACCATCTCTTCTGTCCCATAGATGAGAAATTACTTGTTAGCACAGGAATTATCCCTGTAAAAGAGGATCCACCAGCTCCAGAAGGCCATCCCAGCACAGGACTTGGCCTCTGGTGAGCTCAGTCAGCAACAAATGTTGAATTAATAATACATCCAATATTTGTATGTGTAAGCATAGTCTGTGATTGACTGTCTGCTGAGTAAATATTTTGCTCTCCTAAAGGTTTCTGGAATCTGATCTACTTTGATGCGCTCTGATTTAAACTTCATGAATATCTTTTGAAACATTTGAGCTAAAATGACAATAAGTTATGGAATAGTTCGACATTTTGGGAAATGCCAACGTTTGCTCGTTTTCTTGCTGAGCGTTAGATGAGAAGATCTATACCACCCTCATGACTGTAAATATATATCTACATCCAGCTCGGTGCTGTGCAGACTTTTCCTGCACTATTTTATTTTATTTTATTCTTTTAAATTTGGTGGGCCTGGTTACAATTGTGTTGGGTGCGTTGTTATAATTTGCACAGATTGCATGATTTGGGTGATATCCACCTATGAAAACTTGTATTATAAGCCTTATAAGTCATATAAGTGAAGGCTTTTAATGTTTAATTTAACGTTATCTCAAATCATATAGGAAAAAAACAAAGACAGTATCTATCTTTTATTGATTACCTTCTTTTATGACAACTGGGCAGGTTCTAAGGTTTGATTGGTCTACTTTTTCTCAGTCAAATCAGCAGGTTAGCTTAGCTAAACACAGACTACAAACAAGGGGAAATGGCGAGCCTGGCTCTGCCCAAAGGTAACAATACACGCCTACCTTCCAGCACCTCTAAAGCTTGCTAATTAACACAATATATCTTGTGTGTTTTTTAATCTGTACAAAAACGAAACAAAGTGTAAAAAATTATGTGAAAGTTTATATAGAATTTACAATATATTACCACATAATATGTTAGGCCTATCGATCTTCTCATCTACTCTGAGCAAGAAGGAAAAAAACCAACCTTTTCCCAAAATGTCCCAAAACCATCTCAAATAAGCCAAGACTATGAAATATTAGTCCACTATAAATAGCCAGTCACATTTTTCTCTATTCACACCAGAGCACCCATTCTCCTTTTGTTAGCCCGTCACTGTTCACCCTAAACATGAATACGTATAGTTCTGAAAAGGAAATCCAGCTGTGATAAGAGTAACATGGTACGCGCAGAGAGACGTTGAATAATTGGGGGGTCAACAGAGGGAAGACTGGCCGCTGATGTTTCTCATGGATGGCTCATGGACATGCTTTTTTTATAGCTCCAGAGTACAATGCACCCGACAAACAACAATCTGAATCTATGACTCAGTTATATTGTGTGTGTGTGTGTGTGTGCGCCACTGAAAGCAGAAATAGTGATAAGATAATATTGAGCTGTCAGGGATCAGCAGGCAGTTTTTCTATTTTATGGACAGACCATTCTAACAGTTAGTTCCCAGCCATTCTTTAGTTATTGCACTTATGTGTCAGTCCTCAGTCTGGATATGTATGCCTATTTCTAATGAATCTAATTATCTGTTTACAGATAATTTTGATGGCGACGTTATACAAAAAAATATGTAAAAAAAGTACCCACCACATTATAATTGTTTAACCCTACTACTCTTCTACTTCCCACAGTTAGCAAATGTTAGCATGATGTTGTTAGCATTTAGATCAACGCACTACCGTGAGAAACACCGTTCAATTTTAGACTTTAAACTCTGGGCAGTGAGATTAATTACACAAGCACTTTTGATGCATGCTTGAGATGTTACATAACACTCAAGTCCCAGACTTGAAATGATTACAAAAATATGAAGACATTTCCACAGTTCCAAGACAATAATACTATAGGCTTTTAGCAAACATCAAACAAGAGTTAACGTTGTATTGTCAGCCACAGATTTGGTGCTCAGTTTTACAGCAGCGGGATGGTGTATGATGGACTGACTCAAAATAAACCACAATGGCTGTATTATGTAAGAACATGTCACCCAGTGCAATGCTGTGGCTCATTAATGTGTTTATACAAATATGAATAAAATACTGCCAGGGAATACTTAATAGTATCATTGTTTGATTTGGTCTTGGTCTAATAAAAATATAGAATATCACCAGATTTATCCTTTTTAAAAAAAAAAATATATATCTTTGGGCCCTTTTTAGATCCATGCCCTTTGGAGCTGTGAGATTTCTTGACACACGTTTTCCTTCTGTACATCAAGCTTCAACCAGCTTCACAGGAAGCTCGGTAGCTTGCAGGTTCAGCTCCACATGATGGATGTGCCGCTCTTGGACCTCAATCTCCTCTGTAGTCAGATGGGAGGCACATAAATGCAAGGGAGCACAGGGTAGACTAACAATACAGTGCAAGCAGTGCTAATGGGCTTGTGACAGGGGGGATTTTTAGCACAAATCTGGGTGAGGAAGTAATTTGAGAAATGTTCTGCCTTTCATTTATATTGTCAAAAGTGCTCTTGAGACGGATAATCTGCACATGGTGACGTTTTATATATTGCCTACATTTGCAGCCTTACAGGCTCACACAGTGTTGAGATAAGGTGCGTAGAAACTTCTGATTTCAGTGAGTGATCAGTATTCCACACTTATAACTCTACAATTCCCATTTCATTTTCATAATATTTCATCATTGTCTTTTCCATCTCGGGATAGAGCCTCAGGGAGCTATAAGCTGTATATACTATTCTTGGATCAGTTTTAAGGTCTGGAAATATCGTGGACTTTTGTAGCAACAAATGTTGCCTCTTTTTTTGATATATTTCAAATTATAGGCATAGAAAGTACAAATGATCTTTTGGCTAAAACTCCCAGAGGCACACCTAAACTTTCATGGCAGATGTTCAATTGCTTTTTCCTCCCACACCCGATATAACTTGCCCTGCATTTGGCCTCTGGCTCTCTGGTCTCGTTTCCTCCATGTGGTTCCATGTAGCTTTACGGAGTATAGCCATAACACAGCAGGGGGTTAGAGGGTTAATTTCTTATGTGGCGTGATGGGTGTACTGTGAACGTTAACATTGACAGTGTAGATGATAGTGTTTTCAGAGTTTTAACAAAAGTAAAATTAATACCAGAAGATAAATGTGTCCCACAGTGGGTGGGGACCACTGATCTGAAACTACAGCATATCAAGCTGCTTTTTAAGACCCACATTAAATTGGCAACAACGGATCAATGTTTAAGACGTCTGTTACAGGAGCTACAGCAGCAAACTTTTTCCCTTGGAGGGCCAAAACTGAAACTTAATGGTGTGTCACAGGCCAAAAGCAAACCCCTTTTGTGCTGTACAGTTAAGATGCAAAATGGTCCCAAGTTCCTTTAATTGACTAACTTTCGTTAGGAAAAATAATTAGGAATCCTATATATATATAAGAGCTTTTTCTTAAAGTATTTTTTTGGCCTTTTATTGCCTTTATTGATAGTGACTGCCAAAGATAGACAGGAAAGGGGGGCAGAGAGAGAGGGGATGACACACAGCAACAGGCCGCAGGTCAGATTCGAACCCAGGCCACTGCAGCAAGTTCGTACATGCGTCACACACGTCACCAGCTTTACCGACTGAGCTAATTGGGCACCCTTAAAGAGCTTTTTACCTCACAATAAATAAAACCAGCAGATTTATATTATAGTTTGACTAATAATTACTTTTAAAATTGAACCTTATGGTGGGCCAACTTGGCTCCATAGACCCCACTTTAGCCAGTCATGAACTCATCAATAAATAACCAAATTTTAGTTTTATATTTCTATTCTTGCAAGTTTTTTGTTTAGACTTTCATGTGCTATATGCATATTTTGGACATTAGTGAGTGATACAGACTGGATTATATTCATTTGCATCCTAAGAGAGAAAAGACCAATACAGAAAATTATAAAAAAAATTATTTTTATGAAATTGTTTTGGGGGGATTGGAAAAGGTTAGCTACTTTTAATCTCTTGTCCGGAGTACAAATATCTCATATACTTTATATACTGTGACCTATCATTATCCAGTAGTTTAGTTTTTTTTTTTTTAATTCCTGTCTTCAACCTTTTATTGAAAGTGTTAATAAATCTCGGCATAGCTGTGCACCTACATGCATAGTGACGGCATCAGTTTAATCATCTAATAGTAGATGAGAAAAAAATAACAATCCTGATAGAAAATTAATGGTCTGAAACTGTTTTTAAAAACTTTTTTTTTTTTTTTTTTAAAGATTTATTCAAATAACTTCTGAATCACTGAGTTTTGTCACATTCTGTGAAGGGCTTTTATTACAGTATACAGTCAATTTCAATACAATATGCAGTAGATACAAAATGATTACTTTATTAAATACACAGTATCAGGTGCACCCCAGCAGGAGGCAGTGTAAAGACATTGCTGGCACTTCAAGCTGTATATCCATATTTAGATATTTTGCCAGCAAGCAGTTCACTTTTCACATTGTTTCAATGCCGTGTAAGGTCATACTGCTCACAGGACAGGAAGTTCCAGTCCATTTCCTGTTCTCCTCTCTGAGACCTCTGAGTAACAAAGTGTTTCTTAGGCCAGTTTTTAAATGGTGTCATCCAAATGTTCGTGCAGCCTCTCTCCTCTGTTATTGTGCCTGTGTCTCCTGAAAAGAAACCAAGTGTCCAATTTAGATCAAACAACAGTGACAAACCATACTCTGGCTCCAGTAAACATGACAATTGTTTTGTCAGCAGGCAAACCCTGGCCTGTCATGCCTAATGTGTGTCACTTTTCACGTGGGAGGACACTCGCTGTGTAGAATTTTGCTGTTTTCATTTTGTACCCTTAGTTTTTTGTTTTATTTTTGTCCCTTTTTAAAGCATCTACTAGCAGTATCTTATTTCTTCTCAGTGTATGGGTTTATCACCAGAGCATAGCCTGAAATGAGATTTGTGTCTGTGCCTGCCAGTGTATATGTGCATCACTGTACCTCCACAGCAGAAATGCCAGCACTCCTCCAAACAGCAGCAGGAGGACGAGACACACTACAGCAGCTGCTGTCCCTCTGCCCTCTGTCTCACAAGGTGCTGTCAACCAGGAGAAAGACACCCAATGAGGGGGAAAAAAAAAACTACAAGTCATCTAACGTGGCTGCCCTAAAAGGTTAAAAAGGTCCCCTGCAATACGTCTGTACAGTCAGCAAACTGACTGGAACAACAGCAGCTAACAGGAGGAATCCTAAAATACCCCGACTGTCTTTGGATCATCACGTCTCTTGGCAGATTCGAAGAATTGCATTTGTCTCGCCTGTTTAGCAGCAGTGGTAGCAGCAGTAGCAGTAGTGCCGGTAGTGATTTATTGATCGCACAGTGGAAAATCCTTTATCACTGAAACACTACCAGTGATACAATACACAGAACAAAGTGCAATCAGGACATAGCTCAAGATACACACAAGGCACGGCATAAAGGGGGCCGATTTCTGAATATCCATGACACAACACAGTGAGCTGACTGTAAATGAGACGTTAATAACCATAGCCACCGTTTAATCAAATGGCTTGGACAAATATGGATTAGACATTAGGATCACATAATCACTTAGGGGTAAAATAAGTATTAAGGACCTTTTTTAATGTAAGAAAAAGCAGCAAGTGTAAATGATAGGCCAAAGTCTTGCAAATACTTCCTCCTTTTATCTCTGTTTTGGTCTCCACCAACTCCTGAGGGAAATATGTGGCCCTTTAGCTGCTAAATGCTCCACTATGAGCTAGGTGCTAACTTATTTTTGTGTGTGGGTTTTTTTTTTCTAAGGTTTTTTGCTGAAAACAGTCCCCTGCAGCTTGAAACAACAATTGAAACAACACTAATATGAATCTGTGTGAGTGAACCAAAACAGTAAAGTTTTGGGCTGTAAAACCAAAACAATGAGCAAAAACACTCTATAAAAATACTGACTACCGCAGCTGTAAGTAAGGTAAATAAATATATATTTCAGCCATACACTTTTTAAGTATTATTCATTTTATAAAGAAAAACAGAAAAACTGGTACCTGCTGTGTAGGTGGCAGTACTGTAGCCCAGCTTGTTGCTAACCATGCAGGTGAAGTGGCCACAGATTGGAGTCTTGGTCACAAACAATGTTGTTCCATCCTTGGAGACTGTACCCACAGTCTTGGTGATGGCGACTCTCTCGTGGAGCCAACTGAAGTTGGGGTCAGTCCCCCAGGCCTCGCCACAAACCAGGGAGGAGTGGGACACGTTGATGCTGACTGAGACGTGGTGCACCGCCTCTGTAAAGACAGACGAAAGGAAGTGAAGATAAGAAGGAAAAGAGGGTGGACGTAAAAACAGAGAGCCGGATAGAAATAAGACGGTATGTGAATTGCTTTGCTGTGGGCATCTATCTGTTATAAAAAATAAGAATAATGGCACATGGCTGTCCAAGAGGGTCTAACACAAAGAATCATGAGAGACGTTTAATGCTGTCAGAAGAAACTGGCTGAGTTTCAGAGACAATAATGAGACCGGAGAGTGAGGCATAATGTCTGAGAATGGGATGATGGAAAACCCTGGAAGCTGAGAGAGCAGATGTAGAGAAGAGTGGAGCTGATGAATTGATACTGTTAGAGCAGATGGATGAGAGTAAAAGCAAAGAGGCTCTGACAGAAAACTAGAAAGCTGCAATGAGAGACTGGAATCGTCAAAGAGACAAAAGTAAGACCTAGATAGCAAAGCCTATAGGCAAATTTAATTTAAAGGGTTTTGTTATTAAATGAGACATCCACCATCAAAAAAGAAACAATGCACACTGCCATCAAATCAAAACACATTCTTTATACTGATGGAGTTAACACTAGAAACACATTTCTACATAAACTGCCTCTGAAAGCTTTTTAAAATGATAAAGGGCAGGACCCACACCTAAACACCCACTGATGCTTCTAACCGTATGACCTTTTTCTGGCCTATAGATCAGTGGGACTGAATCTAATAATTATTTTTCATTATCTGGTAATCTTTCATCTTATTTTTGCAATAGTCTATACAATAACAGAGAATAAGGACAAATGCAAATGTTCAGGGTTTCACAGAACTGAAAATATCAAAGGGATTCAGTCAGCTTTGAACCTCACACTTCAGGGGCGCTTTGTACCGGGGGGTGTCATAGATTTTAATCGGACAGAATTACTGGAAATGGAAAATAACTCAGAATGGGACCAGGATCAATTGGTAGTGTACTACTACTCCATTAATTGACTTATTGTTTCAGCAATATCTATAATGTTAAAGACTTTACATGCAACAGATCATACTGTACCATACATCCTGACGATGCAGTGTGCAGTGGTCTTGGCCCCTTTGTGATCCATCACAGTCACAGCGTACACGCCGCTGTCCGCGTTGCTGTAACCATTAATCTGAAGTGCCGTCTCGTGCTGCTTCACATTCATTTGGACATTTGGCCTTGTATTGTCACACTTGAGGCTTCTATCAGGGCACGTGGCCAGTGTCACTCTCTTGGTATCAACTCCAGTTTCAGACTCCCGTTCCCAGGTTACATTGAAGACCGACTCCAGGGGTCCCACCTCGATCCGAGCATTGAGAACCAGCTTGGAGCCGGGGATTACGTACACAGGCTCCTCGTTGAGGATGTGCACTGACATACACTGGAGCCCACATGGCACTGAGGACAGAGATTAGACCATTTGTTATTGCATGCTCATCAGAATGGTGCTTAAGCTTACATGCCTCATGCAGTACATGTTTACATTCAGATGTAGTATGATTCACAGCATTTCAATTCATCAGTGTTGACCTTTTTGGCTTTTGAAGGGTTTGCACTGTTTGGGCAGCATGAGAAGCTAATAAAACAAACAATGGCATAATACTTCATCTCTGTCCCCAGCATGTACTTTATGAATATGTATGGCTGCTTTCTGTCAAACAATGTCAAGCAATGATTTATAGTGCATGTCAGTCATGCCTAATGTGATATCCATCAAACCTCATCAATATCCTAAAATCTGTGTCAAAACTGCAGTGGAGCTGATAGAGCCCGTGCATTTACCCCAAGGAGTATTAATCACACGTCTTAACTTGATAGGCAAAGGATGGAAATGTAAATAATGTAGGTGTGGTTATTAAAACAGAAATCAATTATACAAGAGTTCTTCTTCTCTGCATTTGTGGGAGGAGGCAACATCGAACCGGTGCTGTGATCTTTCTGTTGTGTTGTCAGAGAATAAAAGGATGCTACTGTCTTATTTCGTACACAAGGAAAAAAATAAAATATTAAATCTTTTGCTTTCTTTCTGCAGTTTCTAGCAGGTTTTAAACAGAAATCATTAGGATGGTGGATATAACAAAAAGCCTTACTCAAGAGAAGCAGCAGGGTAACTCTCCAGCACAGGAAACACTGTAGATCCATAACACCTGCTGATATAGACAGAGAACAGAGAGGAATTTGTCCATGACCTCAGCAACAGCACACCATTTCCTCTGTACTTGTGTAGCCACTACAGCAAGAATAATAACACCACCTCCAGAGAAAATGTGAAATTAAAATGAGAGCAAAAAACAATTAAAGAAGCATGTCCCTCTATTAAAAAACTGTAATCCAAATGTTTAGGGTATTCTTTTTTTTCCTAATTTGTTTGTGAAGTATCCAAAGAACAACAGCACTGGCACTGCAGACTGCACTAGAATCAGAACTTGGAACAAAATAGGGACGAGTCTACTGCCAAAACCAAAATGAACCCCCTCAAGCACAGCTGCTACAACAAAAACAGAGAAAGAGGAAACGCTGATAGCAGTGCAAGAACACAACCCAACCTGCATGCATTAAATATAACCTGGAATTCCCTTTTGCTGTTTACCTTGAAGTTATTCACATCAAAACCCCCTGGAGTGGGATTCACCTACCTCTCCAAAGTTGAGACAAACAACACAGTCGAACCAGAGCTCTTCCACTCTTACGTTCACTTTCTCAGAGGTTAAGGTGCAGTGCAATTCACTCTGCAAGTGGATTTATGGCCCAAAATAATAAAATATCTTCATAGCAGTTGCCATTGCATTACAAGAAATAATCTAGTTAAAGATGACAGTTCCTAGATCTACAGCTGCTCCTGCAAACAATATCAAACAGGAGTTAAGCTAAATGTCTTCCTCCTCTCTCTGGCTCTTTGTCTCTGCTTGTCAGGTCCAGTCAGCGAGTCACGTACTATAGGCGTCACCTTGTTTTCAAGCAGCTTCCTCTCCCCAACTTCCCCTTTTCCCTGTACAGTAAAGACTGCTTTCTGCTTTGTGCTTTAAATAAGTGGACTTTCCATTGTAAAGTCACCCCTTCTTATTTCCAAACCCCCCCACCCCTCCTCTGGCCTGTGTCCAATAACCCCCTCGCACAACAATACAACATGTCTGATTTTGATTTTCACACCACTGTTTGTAAACACAGATAAAATGCAATGGTATTCTTTTGAAGGGAAACCAGTTACAATGTTGGAACTCGGTCTTATGAAATAGGCTTTGTACTGCAGCCTTCTTATCCAGCACGAACACTATTTGGCCTGCAGACATTGTCTTGGCCTTGGATTGTAAAGAGGAGGTAATACATGAATTACTCCATTCTTACATTTTCTTCAATAATTGTCTCTTGCATGCAACTGAGAAACACCTTCAAGCACGTAAAGGGGAATGCAGACGAGTTTATTCTGGTTCCCCTGGGAAAGTTCAGCAGTCTTTGTGAAAATGGAGGGGGAAAAAAAACTTCATAGACAATAATTGGGGAGCTTATTTAGTGACCCATGTTAAGTTCATATTCTGGCCTTTTCTGAACACACATAAATTGGAATTTTCAACATCAGCTAGTTGCAACAAATCTTACATCAAACAAGATGGGGTAATATAACTGCAAGCTCCAGAAACTACTGGCTACTAAATAGACCTTGAGATAAGATTTGTCAGCTACACACTACCAGAGCAAGTGATACATATAATGCCATCACTTATTCAGGGAGTTTAGCTCTGCAGTGTCTCACTTTATGAAACGCATCCTGGAGTACAGATGTAACAAGTTATTTCAAACTGATTGCAAATACAAATGGATTTATAGAGGGTTTATGAATAATCATGGGAATCACAGCTGTGGCTCCCACTGAGTTCTTTGCCTACAGAGGAGTGCTGTTAGCTGGAATTAACCAGTGGGTGGCACTGATACATCAGCTGAAAAATATCAACACTTGGCCCTCATTTTAGCCTCTTTTCTTTCATCATATGCGTGTGGTTCCATGTGAAAAATAATTTATGTCTGCTTAATGTACTCTCTTATGCAATGATATGGATTAATGTGAAGCAAAACCGAAGAACTGAATCTATAAAGATGTTATTATCTAATTTGTCAACCACTTTATCAGATCACAGCTGCTATGTCATGCTATGTATCCAGGGCAAAACAATAAAATGACCGTCAATCATGAATTTTTTAAGGAAAACAAAATAAAATAATTATATTCTTTTGAAAAGTGATATGGTCATCTATCTTTATATGCCTGATATGTACTAATCTCCAAACTCTTCAAAAAAACTAAAAGGAACAAATTATTCACTACCTTTTTATTTTCTGATAGTCTTTGAATACATCTCTATGTGACGTGTAAAAATATCTAATACTTTTCTTTTTGGTATTTGATCCCTGGTATGTTACCATTAAAATGCAGTAGCGGAATGAAACAAGGCATATTTATAATAATACGATACAACTTTTTATTGATGAAAATGCTGTACATGTGACGGATATATTATCATGTTACATTATTATCATTATATGTTTAGGCTGATGCATCAGTGTATAAGCAGCATTTCACTGTAGTACCTGGTCAAAGTGGATTGGACCACCAACTGTATATAAAGTTCATGTTTTTTAGAATGCTAAATCTTAATCTGAAACCTTACTTGTAACTACAGCTATCAAATAAATGGCCAGTACTTTCCTCTGAACTGTACCTCTCCTTCCCACCACTGGTTGCAGATAAATGGCTGCGGGCTATTTAAGGAAACAGGTGCGCCTTCGAAAGGTAACAGTGGAGAAACAGGAAGTAGACTCAGTTGTAAGCAAACACAAACCGATACGGAACAATATTTCAGCACCAGAAATGAACATGAGGGCAGTGGGGAAATATTTTGGTAAGTTTCATACACATAGATCCTGACATCGCTGCTCACAATGTTTGTTTTTGTCACATATAACCTGTATTAGATTATAAAGGCCTACAGCACAAGAGGCTGGCGACAGCTGGGTTTGTGTACAGCCTTTTTATTAGAGAAATCCTGGCTAAAAGGTATCAGAAAAGTAATTTAGAATATTATACATGAGAGTTTAATCTGTTTTTAATTTGCAGACCGGCCTGACTGACGACATGAGACAACCTCTGCTTCTTATCAGTCTGTCCCTGGCAGGTAAACCCATTTGCATTCACACTTTCCATTTCTTCCCTCCTATTCCAACAACTAACGTTGAAATGGTTGAAACAACTCACAAAAGCCTTTAAAAGAAGAGTATCTGTAGAGTCTGTACTGTAGGAAAAAAAACACACAAAAAAACCACACAGGTCAGGGAAGAAAAGATGTAGTATTCCAAGCACGTTCATAAAAACAATCGCATTTGAAGCAGAAAGCTCGTCTTAAACCTGCGCGGCTGCATTCCACTCTGTGTGCACAGACTACTGAATGACGTGGTGCCTTCAGGGTCTCCTCCCAGCCTCTTAGATCTGAGCTCTGGGCCTGATTGGAATGACTGGGAGGCTATTTTCTTTATGCCATTTGGTATTTTGTTGATAGGGACGGGCGAGACTGCAGTTTTTGAATACAGTAGTGAAAGGATACGTGGTTGTTGTTCATGCATGAACCATAGACCTACTACCAATACCAATACTTGACCATTGTTTGTTAAAATGTGACTTTAAAAGTGTTATTATTTACTCTAGGTCAGACTGCTTTATAAAAATCACAGGGCCCATCCTGGTTTGCATAACTACTTTATTTATTCCTGTTTCCTGTTCCTGTTTAAAAACTATAATCACTAACTGTTGGAAATTACCTACAGTAGCTCTTTCCAATAAATAAATAAACTATGTATTCATGAGCAGTTTCGTGCCTCAAACAACAATATAAATTAAAAAGTATTGACAGACAGAACACATTGCTAATTTTGGTTTCATTCATTCATTGACAATAACAAAATTATAGAATAATGCCACACTTACCCTTAAATTGCAATGCATTGTATATTTGTGCATAATGTGATTGTTAAAAGTGTTGGATGCATAACAGTGAAAAGATATATATTTTAGGTATTTCTGCTGCAGCAGCAACATAAGCACATAACATAACATTAGCACTAGGAATGTAAATGATATTTTAATTTGTTCATTAACTAAGGGTTGTTGTTCATGCATGAAAGATAATAATTAAAGTAATAATCAGCAACATTTTAACAAATCATTTTGCTTCTCTATGTCAAATAATATTACAAATATTGTGATTCAACCTACACTGTTCAGAAGATTTTACATTTTGTATTCCAAATGCCTGGGGCTTGTCGCTTTCTCTGACAAACTCACTCTGGGGCACAAGCAGAGGTTTATTTTACATTTCCAGAAACTGTTGTTAGTCTGGAATATGTGGAAGAAAACAGACAGTGTGAATGAACATTTATACCCATTCGACCCACCTATAGAAACCTAAAGTTCAGCAACAGACACTAAAAAAAACATTTCTGGCTGCCAGTTTATCTCTGAATTAACAATGGCAAAGAGCCCAGAAGTCATGCCAACAACTGTAGTAACATTGAACTGATGATAAAATTGTAAACCACACAGTACAAATCACCTTCATAGTTATATAATGTATACAACTCTTACTGTACAATCATACTTGCTAATATGAATGACTCTTCTAACCTTGGAAAAACAATCCAACATCGATACTGTGCTGCGTCACTCATGGGTGTTTCTCCCTTCTGACTCATCACTCTTTATCTTTCTGTCTAGTGAGAAAGCAACAAGGCGGCTGATATTTTCAAACACTGAAACACTTTTGTTGTTGTGTGGGAACCTGGAATCCATCTTGCTGTTGGCTCTTGCCATTTTATTCTCCGCTCCCCTGTGAAAACTGTGTAAAGGCAGTCCAGCGAGACTGATCAGGACCATATTGATTTGATTCACTACAAATCATTGGCCAGAGCATTCTTGCGTGGTAGCTGTTATATGCCAGTAAAAGGCCATTGAAAATTCATCCTGGGTTTTTTCCTGCCTGAATCTATAATACGAACACAAACAAGAGGGAGGACTGGCAGCCAAATACAACAGCACAGATTTTTTTTCCCCCATCTTCCCATCTTCGCTCACATACAGACTACAAATGGACAGCACAGTTAAATGCCTGAATGTGTAAAATCAATGCTTCTTTACAACATTGTTTTTGAAAAAAATGCCTATGCACCACTGATTCTTGAGAAGAGAGACAGCAAATATGATTTCGACACGGCTTACGTTAAGTCAGGCTAACAAAAACACAAAATAGATGTTTAGCTTGGGATCACTTACAATCCAAAAAACATGGTGTGAAATCTACGAGGAAGGAAAGAGTGTGTACCTTACTAATGGGTTTTTACCCCTTGAGCCCGCTCTTTGTGTTTATATAGATTTTGTCCTCTGCAGTGAAAGAAGTATTTAAATCCTTGCTTGAGTAAAGGTACCATTCAGTGCATTCAATTCACAATAAAAAAAATCAATAGCCTATATTTTGTGGGTTGTGGATATATAATTACTGTCTTGGGTTTAAGTACTTTATATACTGTTAGGTGGTTCAGTACAGTGGTTCCTAACAAACGTGTCAAGGGGTCATGATCATGGATGTCGTGAAATGATCAATTGCTACACAAATATTGGATAATTTGACCTTGTACTTAAATAAAGTACTTAAGTAAATGCACTTAGTTACTTTCAACTACTGATTCTCTCTCCTTTTGTGTTCTGCTTAGTCCTTTCTGCCAATGTGCTGGCTCAGGACCCGGTACAGATCGCGTTCCAGACAGACCCAGTGCTGGTTCAAACTGGTACTGATGTCGTATTCACAGTGCTGACAGTGCCCCAGGTCCTGTCCATGAACTGGCTGTACCAAGGAGTCACTCTGGGTCTGTGGGCTGGAGGAGCCTCCGTGGTTAACCCGGTGCCCCAATTCCAGGGCAGGCTCACCATCTCTGCCACCCAGCTCCGAATCGGAGGTTCCCAGCTCCGAGATGCGGGGAACTACACGGTGGAGGTGACCCCCATTGTTACAACCGGCCTGGGTGCTAACTCCAGATCGATACAGCTGAGGGTGTTTGGTAAGAGATAAAGAAGTGTGCCTGCGACTTCATATAAGAGAGACGAAGAGGAGGGTGAGGGAAGGGAAGCTGGGAGGAGTGCTGTGGAAGAGGGAGGTTTTGAGGCAAGCGATAATGTTAAGGAGGAACAGAAGGAAGTAAAGAGAGAAGAGGGAGGATTTGGGGAGTAAGAGAATTAGTCTGGGAGGTATAATGAAATTAGTGACCCATAGTTGGCGACGTAAAATTAATGAAAAAGGAGGAGGGGATGAAGCGAGTGGCTCAGGGCTTTATGCTAATTAAATCTCATTTGATATGCAGTGCTCATGCTCTTAGATGTTTGATATTGTAGCAGTCTAAATGTAGCGACACATTTACATACAGTACATACAGTAGGCTATTTGCATTCATTTATATTCAGTACTGTAATGGAGCCTGAACAGCTGAGTGTCTCTATTTTCAGTCACCAGCCCACGCTGCAGGGATGACGTGCAGTCTTCCTCATCCCTCTTACCACCTGCACTAATGGGGTGGCAGGGTGTCCAATGGTTAGAAGCACTAGTCTATTATTGCTGAAAGGTCGCATTCTCCAAACTCACAACAGCTAGTTTATGTCATGGAATAGACGAATCCTTGAGCACGCCTCTCAACCTCCCACTTACTCACTCATAACTTACTCTGGAACTGAGAGCCAGCTAAAATCCTAAAAAAAAAAAAAACTAAAATGCTTGCGCTGAGTCACAGACAAGTGTACAGAAATGCAAGTGATTAGAGATATTTGGTTGTTGCTCAAACGTTTTTGTTTGTTTGCTCTTGCTGCGGTGGTTCTCTTAGTCACAGCCTCCTCCGTCCGTACGCCCCCTCTTCTCCCTCTCCAATTATTTAACTTAGGCTGCCCGCCAAGAGGCATCTAGGCTACTACTCATACCGTCTGCCCCCTTATTCACCATCTGTGCCTCTATCTGAATCCTGTCCCTTCTCAGCTCTCACTTGCTTTGATTACAGCAAATTATCCTCAACAGTAACATAAAACTGCCCTCTATTGTTCTGTCACTCCAACTTTCTTATATTCTGATGCTCTATACCTACAGTAATAGTGCCTTTAGAAACCATTTCTGGATAATTCTTCTTTTGCAGCTCTTCGATAAAACATTTTTTACTCTCTCTGTAGATGCAGTGGCCGGGGTGAGTCTGTTTGTTCCCTCAATAGCGATGGAGGGGAAAAATGTGTCTCTGAGTTGTACGTGGACTGCTGGGACGGAGATTACAGTCCAGTGGGGCAAAGGAGGTGTAGCCATCACAGCCAACTCCAGGATCACCATCTCTGGCGGCTCCCTGGTCATCAACCCTGCCAACCGGAGCGATACCGGGGAGTACACATGTACTGTCAGCAACCTCGTCAGCGCCCAAACTGCCACACAGAGCCTCACTGTCTACTGTGAGTTTGCACTAATCAGGACAAGCAGCAGCTAATCTGATGTAGCCCCTGCAAATAACAGTAGCTTATCTATTATCCACATTGCAAGGAATACAGTGTGCTGGATTGCACTTAGATTGCACAGGACATTTACCCATAAGCTTGTTGTACTGCTTCTAGCTGTGTCTTGATCACATCTTTATTTCTGATTTGACAGTCTAGTAATATCGCAATCACCCCAAGCGCATACTAAAACGGCTCCACATTGTTGTCCTCTAACATCAAACAGAGGTTTCTTTCCCCCGGTGAAAAACACATCAGATTTTAGGTGTTGTTCATATCTGCTGGGGCTATGCAAGTAATCTAAGTCATGTTAATTTTCAGTCACCACTTCCTGTGGCCACAAAAATGTTTATCTCACACACCAGACTTTCATTTGTTCAAACGACAATAATGTGAATCTATATTATCACAATCAAAGGGGCTGTTACAGTCTTGCTTTCTATTGAAATTATTTTCAATATTGATTCATCTTATTGATGACACACTGTTTGGTTTGTTCTGCATGCTTGCTTCGTTGTCTTCCGGCATAACAAAAAAAAACAACTTTCAAACGTGCCAATCCATTTTTTTTTTTTTACAAATCATAACAAAAACAACATATCTGAAAATAAAACACATCACCTTTGACGACCGACACACAGCAAATAACCATGAACCTGGCGCCCGGTTAGCTCAGTGGGTAGAGCTTTGAGAAACCCAATGTACCCGAGCTGAGTCCTTGCTGCAGCGTCCCAGGGTTAGAATCCGACTTGCGGCCCTTTGCTTGGTGTCATCCCCTCTCTCTGCCCCCCTTTCCTGTCTGTCTTCAGCTGTCACTATCATATAGGCAATAAAAGCCCCCCAAAAAAACATGAACCCTCGCCCTGCGCCACAGCTGAAGTGATTAGTTCTAGACTGAAATAGACTCATGGCTCCTCACAGCACCACCCAGGGTCAACCATAGAAATGGCTCCAACACTTAGATTTTTTTTAATGAACTGCTCAGTCCATGAATGATCAGAATATAGAGAAACATACCCCTCATGCTTTCCCTGAAGCTAAGGTAGCATTTTGAAATGTCCTGTTTTGTCTGACCAACAGTCCAAAAACTCAGATTGTTGATTTATAATAATATGAAACGAAAAAAACCAGCAAATACTCACATTTGAGAAGCCAATCAGCAAATATTTTTGCCTTTTTGTATTGATTGATCATTATAGTTTGACATTTTGGGAAATACGCTTATTAGGTCTGTTGCTGAGAGTTAGACGAGAAGATGTATACCACTCTCGTGATAAATCATGTTGGTTCCAGCCTCATATTTAATAGACGTCATTTATTCTCTGTTTTATCTGTATAAAAACTGAAGTGTAAAAACGATAAATTGCAGTTTTATAGGGGGTTGTGTGCTGGATTGTTTCTTGGACTATTTCCAGGTGTAGTAACATGTCACTGTGAAGTATGCAGGCAACCAGTGGAAAACAGCAAGCATAATTCTCAAAATATTATGCTCTAATTCCCAAAATGTTGGACTATTCCTGTAAGAAAACTAAACTGGTGTACCGTTTTTATTACCTCATACAGCTTGAAATACAAGGCATAGTACACGGTACTATATGTAAATGGTAGACTCACTAACACCAAACTGTGTTGAGGAGCAGGCTGCAGTATCTTGTATGAGAAGTGTCTACTCATTATGCTGTACTTTCTTCAGCCTCTGTGCAGGATTTGAAATGCAATGCCCCTTCTCTGCCAATCAGACTTTTAAGGTAAAAGTGACTTGTTGATTCAAGAGGTGGCAGCCATTGTGATTTTTAAATTTAACATCCAACCAGAAAGTGCACAGCTCCTTCATTAGCTGAGTAATATGCTGACAACGTCAAAGAGGGCTCATCAAAATGCTTCAGCCAGAGGAGGTGAAAAATTGACAAAATGATAAGCCTTTTAGCAGAATACATAATCTGTGCTTTTGAACCAGCTTCTTTTGAATACAGATTTTCCTTGTTGTACCAAACGTTATTGATGCTGATGATGATGTCCTCTGATCATCACCAAACCAGATGGCCCTGACACCCCCGTGTTGACCAAGCAGACCCCGAAAAAGTGTGTCGGGGGAGGGGATGTGTTGGTGGGACAGACGGCGCGTCTCACCTGCACGTCTAACTCACTGCCCCCTGCCCTCTTCACATGGCAACATGACGGACAGCCGGTCGCATCCAGCCAGCCGGACAGCGGGGTGCTCACCATTCAGACTTTCTCAACCAATGAGAGCGGCCAGTACGTCTGCACGGCCAGAAACAGTATCACTGAAGCCACGTCGGAGCAGGGGACAGTCTTGGCCATCGTAGGTGAGTTATGGTGGGCGCTGACCTCTCTGTGACTGATAATGATGACGGTTGGTTTTGGAATCCGTTCCTGTATCTGTCTTCTCGACAGGAGAGGGACATAAAGTATCCTGGGAGATTGATCTGCTGAGAATGTGGTCAAAGTCATCCAGTGACTTTCACACATACTTTCTCCTCCCTTTATTTTCATTTCTTTCTCTCGCTGTCTCTCTCTCTGGTATTACTTTATCATCCTTTTTTAGAATCTTCCCCTTCTCTCCTCGATCTTTTTTTTTTTTTTTCGTTTCCTCCTCTTGTCTGTCTGAGCTCCAGACTCATTATCTTTATTAATTCTCCCCCTTTGACACCATTCTTTCTATTTCAGACACGTGTCTAAATGTAGGGGAAGTGGTGGGGATTGTGATTGGCTGTTTGCTGCTGATCATAATCATCATTCTCCTCATCGTGCTCATTGTCTTTCTCATACGAAGGAGGAGGGGTAAGTCTTTTTGTGCAATCATTTTGTTTGTCCACTTTTCATTTCGTTGTTTTTTTTATGTTGAGACAAACACTTTTTGATGATCTATATGTGCGTTTAGAATTTATGTAATAGCTCGGTCACTAAAGTGATATATATATGTAAAAATATAGTACTATATATTTTGTTACTTCTATTATTACAGTACAACAGAGACAAAGAGACATTGCGTTTGTGCAGAAGACCAACCCAAATCCCAGGCCTATAGTAAGCCCCAGTAAAGTTTACATATGATTCACTATTGATTTTGTTTATCTTGCCCATGTGATGGTGCGAAAGGGCTTTCCACAAATTAACCGTCTCATTCCATTTCTCTTTTGCTGTCTCTTCTCTCCCTCCCATCATTTTTCATCTGCTCCCATTAAGCCTCCAGATCCACAACCTAATGGTGCAAGGGATTTGGGCCAAGGTCCCCACCCCCCCCTCTATCAAACACACACACGCCACCCTAACCACTTATACACAAACCCGCGTGAAAACCGTAACTACCCACAGACGCCGCTGCCGAACGGCCTTCATAACTCAGACACACACCAGCACCATAGTCGACGAACCCACACAAATGGACTCCTACACAGATCTATTCAGAACACCAATTCTTACCCACACAATGGCATTGACAACCCGGCTTTCACACGCACTGATGCTCAGAATGCAAACACACTCCCGAACACACAGCAGCAAAATCATAACATTGTCATACAGGCTGGGGCTGCCCAGGGCGCTGCCCAGCCGCCGGCAGTCCACGTCAGCCTTAACACACAAACTGCCCACCAAAACAACAATGCACAACTGCCCACCATTCATGTCAATCTTAACTCATACCCAACCAATGGCCAACAGGCTCAGCAAGACAGCTCATTTCCTCTCACCAACACAACCAATAATAACGCTTCAGAAATCCAACAAAACTCATTACGTGCAATGCAATTAAATCCCATAATGCAAAGTGGGCAGTCCTATATTGGTGACCCCCGGCTGAATGATCACATAGTAAGTCACCAAGCTCAGCCTGATCTTATTCCAACTGGATACACACACTATAATAGTAATAACACTTCTCAGCGAAACGCCAATACACAGACATACCAGCAGGAGCCACACCCTCATAGCAGGTCTGAGAGAAACTCAGGGAGACATGATGCCACTCCCAGCTCCTCCCGTCGACAGATGCCATGGGATTGCCTCCGAGGGACACCAGCATATCCTGGAGGACAGACATCACCTGAGACCTCTGACACTACAGACTACACTACCCATCCTCCCATGCGAGAGGAAAGAACACCAAACAGATATCAGCCTCGACCTCAGAGCCAAACCACTTTGCTGAGCAGAGCTCCACCCAGACAAGATGCACCATCAGTGGACAGACAGACACGGAGCCGTACAACTGATCTTCGAGTCCCAAACACACGCAGTGTAACACAGCTTGAGGCTGCACACCACACACAGAGAAGCCCCCGCACACAAAGGGAGAGTCCTCAGCGAGACATCAGAGGTTCGCCTGGTAGCCAGACAGCCCCCAGGCAGGAAGCCACACACAGCAATAACCCCCAGGCAAGGCCTCTCATGAGCCAGCAGGCCTCTGTAGGCCACTTTGCTGTGTCACAAGGACCCATGACACAGCAGGGACTGACTGCACCGCAGGGTGCAGATACAAGAGCTTTGGCTGATCCTAATCACCTTCCACAGGCACACATGGCCCAGCAACATAGAGCAGCACCGATCCAAAAACCAGCACAAGGCCTGGGCACACAGACACAGACTGTCATACATGGTGCCAGTCAACCTCGCCAAAGAGGCACTGCTCCAGTCCCATACTCTTCTGCCCAACCCAATCCCAGTAACCTAACCCAGGCTGCACTTACAGCCCACACTGAGAGGACTGAAACATTTCAGAACCGGAAACAACAGACCCAGGCTGCCTTGCTTCACCCCGGACAACAGGCACAGGCTCCTGTTGCTGGGGCTCAGCCCCCACCAACTCCTCCTCCTGTTATCCCCCTCACACAGTTTCAGACCCTCCCCAAGAAGCACACCCAACACAAATCCCCAGTTAGAGGTCCTCAGCCCCCCAGACCTCCTGTCAACATACCGGTGTCTCAACGACACCTACAAGTACAACATCGTCCCAATCCTGCCACGATGCCGACCAGCCATCATCACCATCATGGAAATGCCCACATGCATGTCGGTGCACACAGGCATGAACATGCCCGTGGCCACGGGCACCCTGCCCACTTCACCCACCCACGGCAGGTGAGTGAGACACAGCATGATAGTTTGAAACTGCAGCCAACAGATGCCATATGTTGATATTACAAATTTCCAGCACATGGTTCTCTCTCAGATGAGCACTTACAGCTGTCATGTCATACTTCCTCTGTACTTGCATGTGTGCGGTGTTATAGGCCTGCTTCTACCTACACTGTCTCCTCAACAGTTTTGTCTGTAGTGTGTTATTCTTGAAGGATTTTTGACAGCACTTGAATTTTTACAATTGACAATCTTCTTGGTGCCATAAAAATGTATTTAGTCTTGAATGTTTGTGACACTGTGGCAGATTTTAAAAGTAGCATTGTATGTCAGAGGTTCTGCCTCTTCTTCTGCATGACATGTTGGCAATGAAAGGTTTGTTGTGTCTTTCCAGCAACAGGCTCAAAGAGGAAGACCAAGATGATGACAGATGTCAGCAGACTACACTCCACAATGTCCCGCATCCACTGACACAAACAAACAGCTGACAGACGTGATCCAATATACCACCAAGCAAGACTGACTGCACAATGTTGTGCACTCAAAAAAGCTGTCATTCCTTGCAATCTCAGTCCTAAAGTATT